ATCACACACCCGTTCTAATTGATTTTCGTTGCTGACGTCTGATTGTGAGAAGGCGCAGTTAGGCCTGTATTTTCAGGTTGTTCATGTTGTTGTTCTCATGTTGTGATTATTATACGGTTCACTCTTGTTCGGGTTCTATATTAATAACTTGTTGTTGTTGTTCGCTGTACAAGGAAGATGAAAACTTAAGTGACTCAACTCTTGCTACTCATTCTATACATTGTTGGAGGTTGGAGCTATTTTGTTGTAACCGAGAGATCTCCTACACACCAAATCCAGGTGTATAACCAATACGGCCAATTTTTACGGAAATTCGGAGCTAACATCCTTCAACACCCCTCGCGGAGTTTGTGTTGATACCAAGGGCCGAATTATCGTTGTAGAATGCATGGTAAGTTGATGTTACCATGTTATTAACTGTCTTGTAATGTTCATCGAAGTATTTCTTTAGGTGATGCGAGTGATCATTTTCGACATGTTCGGGAATATTCTGCAGAAGTTTAGCTGCTCTCGCTACCTCGAATTTCCGAATGGAGTGTGTACGAATGATAAGAACGAGATCCTCATTTCTGATAATCGTGCTCATTGCATCAAGGTTTGCATCTTTTCGTAGGGAAACTCTTCATGTGTACTTCCATCTGGTATTGGAATATTGTAGGTATTTTCCTATGAGGGACAGTTCCTCCGTCAAGTTGGCGGCGAAGGGATCACCAACTATCCGATTGGTGTGGCCATCAATGCGATGGGTGACGTTGTTGTGGCGGATAACCATAACAATTTCAATCTCACTGTGTTTTCACAGGTAGGCGAGTCTTTAAGCTTTCGTGAGATAATGGCTGCTAGCCATACACTCGTAGACGTACTTCAGGACACAGTGGCGTAGCATCGCGGGCCAGCGAGTATTGTCAGCCGGTCGCCCCTATGAACCGACACAGCCTTCTTGACGTCTAATTTTCATTGCAGTCGCCCTGTGCCTATTTACGGCCTTATTCAAACAATTCCGCAGTACATAAAAATCTTTTCTTCTTTTCGTGTTGAGAATCCTGCCAGACCACGCTCTTTTCTCATTTTTCAACCTAATTGATTTAGCGCAAAAGTGCTCCGTAGAGTCAGCTAAGAATGGATTCTGCCTCTTTCTGATTCTCCAACCCGCCTTTGCTGTCCTGAACTACACCCTATACATATTGTGCGATGGACTTTCGACACATTTTTCGTATTTGCTAGTGATTTCTAATGAAGAAATGATGTTTATGTTTAGGATGGCGCTATGACTGGTGCTTTGGAACGGCGTTGGTGCACGAAAGCAGCGTTGTTTTGGCATCAAAAGACTATCGCCTCTATCTGTATCGTTTCCAACGCAGTGCTGGTGGTAATCAGCAGTAGAACTATCTCATGGTTCACCATCATTTGAACAGTAGCTGGTGCAGGTCTCTGGCTTTTTATACTTCATCATCACCTATCACATATGCATACTTTTGTTAATGTTGTTTTGTAATAATTGTAAGATAGGCGCGCTTGGGTGCTTAGGCGCGGCGGGCGTTGAGCGTCCCCCGATTGTTGCTCTTCTTCTCTCTGTTTTGGTTATATTGTTAGTGCGCAACTGCCGGCCAGTAAGTGATACCGATTAGATATGTCGGCGCTGGCGGAAACTACTAATCCCCGTATGTTGCTGCGTACCTTATCGTTATCTACCCGTTCTTAGATTTTCTGTTTATGAGTTTCGATAAATTGTTGTTTTGTGTCCTCGATGAATTTTTGAAATAGAATTTATTGGAAAACATGCGTATTTTGCCTGTCTTATCACATCGTTGCTGGGAAAAATGTTGTTTTCGAGAGAGCGATATGATGGTCAGACGGAATCAGTGGTTGTTTTGGTAGGGACACTCACGTTCATACTTACTGGTACATGCAGTGTAAGTTGAAATAGTTGAACGAAGTCGGACTGATCTTCATGCTTGTGTAAACTGCTCTCCAGCTGAGCATCTTCTGATATCAAGAGGGGAACGGAACATGCCCGAAAGTGCTCGTATGACTCAAAAATGGAGAGTATTCAGTGCTGTTTTCACTAATAGTAAGGTGGAGCATTTCAGGAACTCAGTTCTGGGAGCTTAAGGAGGAAGGGTTTCCGAAAGCAATTACTTTTTGAATAAGGAATTTAGGGTACAGCACCGTTGTGTGGAACAAACGGTGCTGTACCTCAGACTGGGAGAAGCAGTGATAGTACGAAATGCCCCCCGTCGATAAACAGCGCCTAGTTAACATTTTCTAGATCAGCTTCTGCTTCGAAAGGCTCATGAAAGTGGATACTGACTTACCGGTTTCGTGCTTTGGTAAGTGCATACTGCTTTTGGC